ACAGGTTGAACATTATAGTTCTCTTGCAATGAGGAAGTAATCATGTAAGTAAAAGTGTCGACCTTCCGATTTAATACACATAGCGTTTGTTTAATCGCATCTGGCATATTTGGGTCCACCATCACTTCCTGTACGTCAATTTCTATTGCATCAATCCATCCTCTGTTTAAAAGGTCTCTACAATAACCTTTTCTAAAGATTTTCCATGGAACGTACAATGCCATTAGGATAAATTGCTAATCCTTGGATTAAATCTGCTAAGTCAGTTTTTCCCAATTTCACTATTAAATCATTCAAATTTTCGAGTTTGAGATTCACCATGTCAAATAGACGACATTTTCTCATTACCTCGATTTTTTGAATTCCTGCTTCATAAAGTAGAGCGGTTCCTCTAAATTCCTCGTCTGCATAAAACAGTTTATCAACTTCTAACCATGCTAACCTTCTCGCTAGTTTTCTAAACACTTCTGCAGTTGTACTTCCCCTTGTCCTGTCGCCAATACGATCCTAATTTGGGTTTCCAGATCCTCCCAAAGTGTTTGACTAGCTGAAGTTAACTTTAAGCCTTCTGGAAAGCTAAACCTCTCACAAATATATGCATCAATTAATTGCTTCTTTTGTGGAGTGTGTGGAGTCACCACGCTTGCAGTGTCTGATGAAGCGTTCTCAGAATTCTTTGTCTTTGGCAGTGGACAATTAGCCTATTCATGTCCTTTCTGCTTCCGAGACCAGCAAACTATTACTTTTTTCCGAGTCTTATGGATTCCTTTCTTAGGAGTGACCTCCTTTTTAGAAGTAATTTCCTTCATAGAAGTACCCTTCAAACATTGAAATTTTGGGTTTCTTCTTTCCGAAGTATCAGAGTCATAATCTAGACTCTTTCCATCTTTATCCTACCTTGCCGCAGTAACCTGCCTAGGAGAAGAGATTACCTGCTTATCCGCAGTTTTCTCCTTTTTAGCAATACCTTTTAAAGCCAAAGTAATCTTCAAAGGACAATTCCTTCTCAAGTGTCCTCGTTGTTTACACTTAGAGCATGAGAAGTGATTTCCAGTTTCCTTCTTGTCCGCCATTATCCTGCAAGTCTTCAGAGAAATGTCTGGACAAAAAGTCAGCAACAAAGTTAGATTTTCTAGAAATATATTCAAATTTTATTTTATAATCTGCAAACCAAATTTGCCATCTGATTAGTCTGGCTTTGTTATCCTTTAAAGACAATTTCATAAAAGTTTTTAAATATTTAGAGTCTGTCCTTAAAGTAAATTCCTGACTGATTACGAACAATCGAAATCGGTCAATACATTCTTTTGCTGCTAAAACCTCCTTTTCATGAACAGGCTAGTTTATCTCAACAGAAGAGAATTTTTCTAACGCATATCGAACAATCCTTTCAATATTATCAGTATCCTTAGCCTTAAGCACACCTTCCTAGTACAAGTGAGATGAATCGCTTTCTATAATAAGCACATGTCCAATTTCCAGGAGTTTTAAAGGTTTAAATTGCTTTGTCAAGGCCTTGGTTTGCTTAACACAATTAGTGTTTTCAAGTGTCCAAACCTAGGGCACTTTATCACTAAGCTTAAGCGTCAAGCCATTGATTACATTAGCGAGATTAGGAACATACTCGCGCATGTAATTGGCTAATCCAAGAAATTGCTGTAACATGTGCTTATCTCTCATCACATCTGAAAAATCCAACAACTTCTTTGAGATATGTTCTTGGAGTTGAATACCTCCTTCACCTATCTTAATGCCTAAGAACCTCACCTTGTTCTTAAACCATTCTACCTTTCTTTCAGATAGAATCATTCCATTATCAAGGAAACTTATGATTACAAGTCTAAGATGATTTACATGTTCTTCCTTGGTTTTACTAAAAACCAGAGCATTATCAATATAGACTACACAATCCAAAAACCATATCCATTTTCCTTTGGAATATCGATGGTGCCTGCTTAAGCCCAAAAGGCAGAACCATCCATTCAAACAATCCTTTCGGACATGTGAAAGTCGTCAAAGGAATGCTTGACTCTTCTATTTTATCTACTAGAATCTTGACTTCAGATCAAATTTTGAGAAGATTTTTCCAAATCTAGCTTTATTCAAACATGCTGATATGTTTGGTATCTTATAGGCATCATCAATAGTTTTATCATTTAATTGCCTATAATCGATAACCATCCGCGCTTTTCCTCTTTCCTGTTCAGCTCTATTCATAACCATGAATGCTGGCGAAGAGTGTGGGCTTTTACTAGCGCATATCAATTGCTTTCCAGCAATTCCGGTATTTGCTTGCTAAATTCTTCCTCTACATCAGGAGTATGAGGATAGGATTTTGTAGTTATTGTATCATCATCTTTCCTTAATTTAAGCGAAGCATATATACCGTTCATTTCCCATAACTTTAATGGTTGATCATCAAAGCATGGAGAAAGTTCCTCTTTAAAGTATTTTACAAGTTCCTCAATCCTTAAAGAGTTCTTTTGGCTCTTGTTTTCAACCTTCAAGATTTTCTCCTTATGTATGAATTTATTCGTGCTCTTAGGAAATGCAACAGAGGGATCAACCTCCTGCGATATATCCCGTGCAATCCGGTTTGTGTGATAACTAGGATATAATCTTTGAAAGAAAGCATTACAAGCCTCATCCACTTCTTCTACTTCAGAAGGTTTCAACCACCATTTTTCCTTTTCCAAAATCTGGAAAACAATATGATCTACTTCTTGCCTTAGTTTCACCAATCTAAAACAGTTCGTTACTTTCGAAACTTCAGGCTTAGCAAGAATAGGGATTTTATGACCTCCAAGGATAATGTGGTCGTTATCCTGAGTAAATGGTCTAACTTCTACTTGTCCTCTCAGAAAGCTATTACCGAGAATAAAATATACCTTTGAGTAATCCACTATTAGGACTTCCCTTAGAGTGAATTTCTTCTCGTTTAACAGTACAACCATGTTTTCAACCACATTTGTGATCATACTTCAACCTCCATCCGCAACTGTATTTAGGATTGGTTTTTCTAATGATTTCCAAACCTCTTGTGGAAAACATTGCTTCCTTACAATACATTTGGTTGCTCTTATCTCTACAAGAATATCCAAAGTATATTCCTCATATTCTGGGAAACACAGTTTAGCACGAATGCAAGTGTCAATAGTTCCCTGAACTATTGCATGACAATGCATTTCATGACTCATCATCATTTTTGTGCATAGATTTTTGTCTTCATATGTTGGAATTTGTACAAATTTATATCCAACTATTTTCCTGCTACTGCTGCTCCCAGTATCACTAGTAGTATCACCTATTTCCAGCATATTTTTCCTTGATGTAATGGGCTGAACCTCTTTATTCTGCTCTAGAGACATCGAGTTTCTAGGCGTAAGAAGAGTAACCTCAACCTCATTATCAAGTTCGTGGATTTGAATTCCACGATTTGGGTTTAATTCCACCACGCTAGGCTGCATTGAATATTCTAAAACCCATCGTTTTGAACACGTAATAGCCTTTGCATTGACTACCATAGGTCGAATTAGAATTACAGAATCCTGTCCCGGCGATGAACTTCAGTATCTGCACTAGAATTCATTAGTATAGGATTAACAGAATTTATCAATCAATAAATTAACTTATACTGGACTGCTGTTCCGTCACTAGAAGCCATCAAGTCTTCTAATCCTGAAGTATGAATCCATAGAACCATAATCCGTTTGAGATTTGGATCCTTGAGACTAACCATATATCCTGGTTTAACAGTCCCATAGGCATCTCCCAAAGCCAAATTAGCGTGAAAACCGCCAATTAATGCTTTTCCAAACATAAGCCATCATCTGTCTAGTAAAGCAACCTGAACAGGTACATTCATTCCTCCATGGAATAATACTTGTACATGTATCTGTACAACACCAAGTTGTACATAGTTATACTTGATGTTTGCCCGTTTGTTAAGATTTCTAACATTCCGTAGCCACTCATCGTCCGAGAGTATCAATTCACCCTCTCGCGACTAAGATAAAGCCACACGAACATGTTTTTCGTGTACATCTTCCAAGCCTTCAGCTTTAAACAACCACTTTGAGCGTTTTTCAAAAACTTCTCTAGGTGTTAACCTTGGAATTATCTAATGCTCTGGACTACCCAAGTGATCCTTGTAATTAAATGATGAACTAATTATCAAGTTAGGGTTTTCATCTTCATCTCTAAATGGGATAAGATCATCCTCATCACCAATTCCGCTATTCTTAGGATATTCACTAAGATTGCTAGTCCTTTGCATGAATATACCTATGCGTTGAAGATTTGAAGATTGTTCCTCAAAAGTCATATCTTTTGAGTCATCCTCCGAAGAATCTAAATCTTCAGAGTAATCCGAAATTAATTCATAAACCTCATCATCTGAATCAATTTCGTATCCCAAATTGGCTCAAATTTAGAAGTTTAGCTTTCTGCATTGATTTCTAAAAATCTTACCGCTGCCTTCTTCATACTCTTATGAGGGCATTTATCTGCAAAATGATTTTTGTCACCACAAATCCAGCAACAATTACAATCTTTTGTGTTTTTGCTAGATGGGCAGGTAGCACAAAACTTATGCGCTCCGCATTCTTTAGCATTGAGTCTACCTTTTCCTGTTTGCCTAATAAACTTTCCATGATCCGAAAGATTTCGTTTATTAGTAACAGGTCTTTTTACCATATTACAGAAACGTTTCAACCTAAAGTTCCTTTTACTGAATGATCCTATCCGTTTCATATGGGTTTTCCAACCTTGATGTTTAGTCGAATTTCTTGACTCACAGCCATATTGTCCTATCACTCCATCAAAGTTTTGAGAATAAGATTCATTGAACTCCAGTCTTTTGGCCTCTTTATTTAATTGGCGTTCAAACATCTTGTTCTCATGAGTTGTCTAACAGCTTTTATCCATCCTCCCAAAGAATCAACAACCTGATTCTTTTCGAGTAAAAGCTTAAACACCTCGTTTGCTGCCTTATGCCATCCTTAGGGAAGCTTAGCAAAGAAAGTATTCTTCATGACATCCTGCATGCCACCAGGCAACTGAACAAAATATTGTCTATATTCACAGACGAAATTTTCAAACAGACACATTTCACAAAGCCTAAGCTTTGTCAAAGCTTCTAAGGCAACTACCTCTGTGAGATTCCTACTGCTTATAGTTATTCCAGTAAATTCTCGACAGAGCGTATCCTTGAAGAGTGTAAAAATAGCCTCTGCATTCTTCAACTCCCTTACAGTATCTAATAGACCCGTACCAGCTTCTAAACTTCTCCAGAAACTTCCTGTAGCTCCCTGCAGTGTGGATCTTAGAAATATGTAAGTATCACTGAGTCCAAAATTCTTATTTTGCACATGAACTCAGTTAACAGTTCCCCATGCTTCAATTGTATCCGCAACATTCGTGACACAATCAATGTTTAGGAAACTTTTGCTAGACAGTATTTCCACCATTTTAGGTATTCCCCTAGGTATAAACTCCGACCTTATCGTTGTGGGATAAGTAGGTTTATATATTATAGTCTATGAGGAAGGATAAGGAAATAGTATTAGAATATATTTTGATGTGTTTTTTTAATTAGGAATACAAAAGAAACAGATGGAATATGAATAAAGATGTTATAATAAATAAACATGGTTGTTTAAGAAGAATAAGATCTAACTGGCATGAGTTTAATAGAAATGATAAGAAGAATAAATTGGAAAATAATATCGATTGTACGATTAGACCATATAATATTCAGGTAGTCTTCTCAACTTTCATGAGTGATTTAATAACATCTGTGTACAATTGATATTAATAATTATAGAGGTATGATTATTAATTTTATCTTAACATCTGGTCAATGACTTCTCTGAATTTATGTTCATATCACTTTAATATTATGTAAATTATTTATTTAAAATTTAAAAGTATTTAATTGTTTTTTGAGAATACAAAGGTGGTTTGGGAAAACGAATAAATGTCTAGTAATAAGTAAACATATTGGCTGAAAAAAAGTTAATAACTTTTTGGATAAGAGGATACGAAACGGTAGCAAACATAATAAATATTTTGTTAAGTATTCAAGTCAGAAATGTCATGATGATACTATAATATATCAGTTGGATCATGAATAATGGTTCAACAACCATGCTCCAAATGGATGTTATCGGTTAGCGTGGGATTTAATTTGGTTGATAAAAAAAATGATTTATTTTAACATCTGGTAATGACTTCTCTGAAGTTGTGTTGGTATCACTTTAATATTATGTAAATTATTTTTTTAAAATTAATTTTTTTTTTTTTTGAGAATACAAAAGGTTCTTTGGGAAAACGAATAAATGTCTTGGAATAAGTAAACACCTCGATCAAAAAATGTTAATAAGTTTTTGAATAAGAGGATATGAAATGGTAGCAATCATAATAATTATTTTGTTAAGTATTCAAGTCGGAAACATCATAATAATATTATAATATATCAGTTGGATAGCGACTAATGGTTCAACAACCATGCAATAAATGGATGCTATCGTTTGGCGTGGGATTTAATTTGGTTGATAATAGAATGGAAGTTTTTTTAGATGTGCGATAGGAATGTTTATTTATAGATTTTGTTAATTTACATTATAATATATTTAGATTGATGTTTGTCAAACATGTGTAGACAATCCAATGAGTTTTAATTTCTATTTTCAGAATAAATTAAAAAGCATTTATATTTTTACACCTGTAATAAATCATATAAAGAACTCACTAAAAATTATATTTCATAGATACTATTTGATAATCTATGTTACATCTTGGACATGTGATATTTTCTAGCAACGTTGACCTGTCCCAATGTATACGATTTTGATTCTCTTCATCGCAAATCCGAAATATTCTCCTTTTAATGAGAATTGTCACAGTTGGAGTCATGGACTTGAACACTTCCTTGCAATTTTTTAGTTTGTGGAATTGATTGGTTAGTTTCACTAATTTCATTAGAATTTTTACACCTCTACTGTCGTGCATAGTGATTAGAGCAACGATAATCTGATACATTGCTTACTGGTTATTTTGTTTTCAAGATGCAATAAGTAGTTGTAATCCTCTATTTCTGTCATGTTCTATGAAGAACAAATGTGTTCCAAGCAGTAGTGAAGCCATGCTTATCTTCTGCTTCTGCAAGGATCTTCAGAATTGAAAGCCATGTCGTTGTTTGAAGATGTTTTTGTTAGAGTAGGTGTCCTAGAGCCAATCAATTATTGTAGAATTGACTCTTTATACTAATGTTGATTGATCAATAAAAATCAATTTATTCTATATCGTGTAAATCATATCTATATGTATTGATATATGTCCTTAGAATGGTAAAACCATGACGAGGATATCAAGTGTTTTAAATCTTGATAGTGAGAACCCTATGAGCACATATGGTGGCCATTCTATAAATGTCTGTAGCCCTTGTATTATTCTGACCAAGGACACAGATAATATGGTAATGTTAGAGTAGATGCCCTAGAGCCAATCAATTATTGTAGAATTGACTCTTTGTAATAATGTTCATTAATCAATAATAAAAGGCATTTTATTCTATATCGCGTAAATCATGATTATTGCAATATGTATTGATATATGTCCTTAGAATGGTAGAACCGTGACGAGGGTATCAAGTGTTTCAAATCTTGATAGTGAGAACCCTATGAGCACATATGGTGGCCATTCTAGAAACGTCCGTAGCCCCAGTATTATTCTGAAGTAAGGGCACAGATAATACGGTAAGGCTATCATAGTGTTGAACGACCCTGTCGAAAGGCAGTGACTGATCTCACTTGTCAAGGTTGTTTGGTGACAACCTGGTGCAACACATGGGTGCTTGTTGTAGGCGGATATACCGCAGCAAGTTCACTGGACTGACCCACCAGAGGATTCCATATGGATGGTAACCCCAGTGTCTATGGAACAAATCCTCTAACGAATGGTGGTGCATGTGATCCTTAGACTTGAGGTCACCGGAGTGCCTTGTGCACCGACTGGTACAGTTTGACACTAGCCTAACGCAGTTCTATTCAGAGCTGTCAGTACGGTGGTGATTGGCTATATCAAGAAGTGTATCAAGACTATGGTGGATTGACAAAGGATTCATCACTCCCGGGTACGGGAGAAGTTATCTCACGGCGCAATTCAGTATATGGCAATGACACTAAAACTGTGGCCACAGTGGGATTGAGTTGTTGCTCTATCCAGATTATAATACGGGTCATTGGTCCAGAAACTGAATATATAATATCGAGAGTAACCGAAGGTTGACACTATTTCTATGCCTTCGTCTCGTCGAGATAACGTATGATGAAAGGATCGAATTGTACGGTAACCATATCGTTGACAGGTAGCTACTTTGCTGAATCCGAATCTATCGGGTGGCCATGATGCCTTGCTAGGGGCCAATCTTGGTCTGTGTATTAGTGAGACGATTAATTGGTGTTAATCGCGATACTATACACTACCGGTATGATGAGGAGCCTATGGGTCACACACATAGAAGATAATTTAAGAGCCAAGAAGAAAGAAGGGCGTTTTCGTCTTTTTAGGCGAAAGGGTATTTTGGTAATTTCACAGTGCAATTAAATTTGCTGAGGTCGTAGCCTTTTTATTTAATTTGTTAAAAATTAAATAAGTGAAATTACGGTTGAATGTGTGTTCGCACATATTCAAATAAATTATCATTATTGTTAAATGTTAATATATATATTATATATATATTAATTGATTTTTAATTGAAATAATGATGAAATAAATAAAATATCTAATTTGGGAGTGTTTGGCAACATGGGGTGTTTGGGTTGGAGCCTAAGCCCCTTCCATGTGGGAATAGGGCAACTTAGTTTGCCTATAAAAGAAAATGTGTGTATAAAATTAAACAAGGGTTTTATTAGTTCATTTTTCAATTAAAACAAACACACACAGCAGCCTATTTAGATTCTCCCATGCCATTTTCACCCTTTTGATTGAAAAATCAAATACTCCTTTTCTTCTTGATTTCTTAAGGCCAACGAGGATCTAGCAAATCCCTCCTTGGTTCTTGGTGGTTGTCTTCGTGTGGACTTCTTGGTTCGATCCTATACTTGGATCGGTAGCAATCATGTTCAGAGACAATATTGGTGGAGCCTCCAACGTTGGTATAAATCTAAACTTTAGATTTACTTTATTTTTCTGCAGATTCTTGATATTATATATAAACTGTAAAATTTGTGCCTTGATTTTGGGCTTTAAGGAACGATCTACGGTTGTATAGATTTTTTGTTTTCGGCTGTGCAACCGGGTCGTTTCCTAACAGGTAAGGCTATCATAGTGTTGAAAACCCTATCAAAAGACAATGACTGAGCTCACTTGTCAATGTTGTTTACCGACAACTTGGTGCAATACATGGGTGCTTGCTATCGGCAAGTTTATTAGATTGACCCACCAGAGGATTCCATATAGATGGTAACCCCAGTGTCTATGGAACAAATCCTCTAACAAATGGTGGTGCATGTGATCCTTAGACTTGAGATCACTAGAGCGCCTTGTGCACCGATTAGTGTAGTTTGACACTAGCCCAACATAGTTCTACTCAGAGTTATCAATACAATAGTGATTGCCTACATCAAAGAGTGTATCAAGACTATGGTGGATCGATAGAGGATTCATCACTCTCAGATAAGGGAGAAGTTATCTCACGGCGCAATTCAGTAGATGGAAATGACACTAAAGTTGTGGCCACAATGGGATTGAGTTATCGCCTAATCCAATTTATTATTCCAGTCATTGGTCCAATAACTGAATACAAATATATCGAGAGTAACTGAGGTTGACACTATTTATACACCTCGGTCTTGATGAGATAATAGATGATGAAATGATTTGATTGCACGATAACCATATTGTTGACAGGTACCTATTTCATTGAATCCGATTCTATCGGGTGGCCATGATGCCTTGCTAGAGGCCAATCTTGGTCTGTGTGTAGGGAGATGATTGATTAGTGTCAATCGCGATACTACTCACTGCCGGTATGATGAAGGGCCTACAGGTCACACACATAAGAAGACAGTTTAAGGGTGGTTAACTATGGAAGGGAATTTTCGTCTTTTGGAGAAAAGGGCATATTGGTAATTTTGCTGTGTAATTAAATTTACTAAGGTTGTTACCTGTGTCCAATTTTATTATTGGAGTTATTTATCAAAATTACTAATTTAATTATTGAAGTTAATATTTATATTAATATTTAACTAAATAATTAGATTGGGACCTATGTGCAATTTCACCTAAGTTTGGTTTTTTGCTTAACTTTTGGGGTGGAATTGATATTTAGCTTTTCTATATAAAGAAAGCATTGAATAGGTTTTATTTGATTTACTTATTTTTCCTTAGCCGTGGAGTAAAAAAAAAAAAAAAAAATTGTAAGGTTAGAGTAGATGCCCTAGAGCCAATCAATTATTGTAGAATT